GGCATTGTCCCCCATTTTGTATCTTTGCATTTTGTTTTTCCTGCCAAAGTGGAGTATCTTGCATTTGTCCCTGTTGAACTTCATTTTGTTAGTTTTGGCCCATCTCTCTAATCTGTCAAGATCGTTTTGAATCCTGCTCCTGTCCTCTGGAGTATTGGCTATCCCTCCCAATTTGGTGTCGTCTGCAAACTTGATGATCCTGCATTCTAACCCTTCATCTAAGTCATTAATAAAGATGTTGAACAGGACCGGGCCCAGGACGAAACCCTGCGGCACTCCACTTGTCACTTCTTTCCAGGATGAAGAGGAAGCATTGGAGCACTCTCTGTGTTCGTCGACTTAACCAATTACAGATCCACCTCACCGTAGTTTTGCCTAGCCCACATTGGACTAGTTCCTTGCCAGAAGGTCATGGGGGACCTTGTCGAAGGCCTTACTGAAATCCAGGTACGCTACATCCACGGCATTCCCCGCATCTACCGAGCTTGTAACTCTATCGAAAAAAGAGATCAGATTAGTCTGGCATGACTTGTTTTTGATCAATTCATGTTGACTATTACAAATGACCACATTTGTTTCTAAGTGTTTGCAGACCACTTCCTTAACAATCTTTTCCAGAACAAAAGTTCCACGGCTTATTCTACAAAAGTTGCTAGAATACGTTTCATCACTTAGTTACAGTCAGAGCTAATCAAACAGATCTAGCTACTATGAACAAAAATCCCTCACTCTACTTCGGAGAAATAGTAAGGAGTTTCTGACTAAACTATCCTAGTTAGTCCCTGAGTTATCAGCTAACTCTTCCCAGAGTTCTTCTTGCTAACTAACTCAGTCTAGAGAGCTAATCCCTTGTGCTGCCGTCTGACTTTTCTCCTGTCAGTTCATCAGCCCCTGTCTCACAGATACTCTCTCCCTGAAAACCTAGTTTCAAAAACACTTCTTCACCCACCAGCTCCCAGTTCTCAACTCCCACAGAAGCTGAAATCTTTTCCCTCCTAAGACCTGGCTCCTCCCACTTGCTCTAGCCAATCCCAGGAGACCTCAAACTCCTCCCATCTTCTAGCTATCCTCACTCAAGAAGGCTGCTTCCTTGGCTTACACTCCCAAAATGGAAGCTTGTCATACTGTTATCCAGGCTTCCTTTCAGGCCTACTAGGTAAAATTCACTACACTCTCTGCAATGTGGGTCTCCAAATGTTTGACAACAGATCAGAAAAGCATGCAGGTGAAAACTTCTGGGTCCATTTGTCAGCGTTTTGGGACCGATAAGAACTTCCTGGATCGACTGGCCACTATGGATGAGACCTGGATTTATTTGTATGACCCTGAAACTAAGGAGCAGTCAAAAGAGTGGAGGACCAGTGGTTCTCCTCGTCTCCTCGTCCAAAGAAGTTGAGGGTGCAAAAATCAGCCACAAAGGCGATGGCGTCTGTGTTCTGGGATAAGGAGGGCATGCTGCTAGTGGACTACCTTCAAAATGGTTCCACCATCAATGCAAGGTATTACACTGAACTTTTGGACCAATTGAAGGCAGCTCTGAAGGTCAAAAGGCTCAGCAAGCTGCCCAAAGGAATCTTGTTCCTGTAAGACAACGCCTCTGCTCACACTGCACAAGCAACCATGTCAAAACTGGTGGAGCTCGGCTTCCAGCTGGTTGACCACCCACCTTATTCACTGGAGCTAGCTCCCTCTGACTATCATCTGTTTCCAAACCTGAAGAAACCCCTCAAGGGTAGCAAATTTCTGATGCCATGGCTGCTACAGATGACTGGTTTGAGGCACAACTGAAATTCTTCTTTTTGCAAGGCTTACAGAACTTGGAATATCAATGTGAGAAGTGTGTTAATATCAGTGGAGAGTATGTGGAATAAATATAAAGTTTCATCTACCTATCTCATTTCTTTCTGGGTAAAGCCAAAGACTTATCAGCAGCCCCTCGTATATACTAGGCATGGTTAGGTTTGGTTGGAATCTTCATAATTTGGAATACATTCGGAAAGATTTGCTTTTTGAAGTGATTTCAAAGTTTTTAAGGAAACCGGAAGTCCCTTTGCCCTTCTGAAGCTTTTTCCGTCATTTCTGTTACGAAGCAGTAAGTAAGTCGGAAATTATTCAGTGTTCCCCCGCTTCTGGTCCCTGGCCTCGGCTCAAGTTTGGGAAGCCGTTTTAAACTAAAATGGATGAATTTCCTCCCTCTCCTCTCCCCTCGCTTCTCTCTCGAGCCTGGGAAGCGTTTTAAACCAGAGTGGATGAATTTCCTCCCTCTCCTCTCCCCTCACTTCTGTCTTGAGCCTGGGAAGCATTTTAAAACAGAGTGGATGAATTTCCTCCCTTTGCTTCCCCCCGCCTTCTGGAGTAAAACAACTACTTTCAAATTAAAGACCACCCAATGAAGTCTCAGAAGTTTTGAAAAGTTTTGAACATTTTTTTCCTGTGAAAACCGGAATTGACTTTATAATTGAACCACCAGAATCGAATTGACTTTAAAATCAAACCTACATCCAAAATGAGTTTTGAACCATTTTTTTTGGCTCAAACAAGCCTAATATATACACTCCACTTGCTTCACCATCTCTATGCAGAGACCCTCTTTGATTGGCTTTGCAGCTTCATGGCTACTCAGTGCTATTCCAGCTTGCTCATTGCAACAGACGAGGGTTCTTTTTCCCACCCTGGACATTATTCCACAGATATATATACACTCCATTTGCTTCACTGCCAACAGAACTTCTGAAGATGTTTGCCACAGATGCAGGCCAAACCTCAGGAGAGAATGCTACTGGAACATGGCCATACTGCCCGTAAAACTCACCACAACCCTACTTCTTTTGTTGTCTTCTAAAACCTTGCTTGTTTAATATAAAACCAGATGAGGTGATATCTCCAGGCTGTGCCCTCCCATGGGGGTGACTGCATTCTCCGCTCTGGACCAATCCTGTGTCCTATGCTTTGGCTTCACTGGTGAGTATTTAAGCTGGAACTTGGGTTATTAATTCTGGTTGGCATAATGCTCCCCAGGCCATTCCTTCTCAATATATTGCGGTATAAATTCCCTATCAAAGGCCTTCAGAGGACAGGGTGAAGGAGACAGAAGGGAAGAAATATAGGTGTCCTTGGTGAACTATAAATCCTTGGGGTGTGTTCAACATCATCATCATTATTATTATTCCAAACAATAAGAAACTAAAAAACAATCCTCTTTAAGAAGCCGCTAAGTTGGACATCACGTAAAAAAACATTTAATTTAATGTTAACGCTCCATGCAGTCATGCCGGCCACATGACCTTGGAGGTGTCTACGGACAACGCTGGCTCTTCGGCTTAGAAATGGAGATGAGCACCACACCCCAGAGTCAGACATGACTGGACTTAATGTCAGGGGACTACCTTTACCTTTTTATATAGACATTAGACATGGTGACGTCCAGTCGGAATCTTCTTTATTCAGAATAAAGTTGGAAAAATTACATTTTTTGAAGCGATTTTGAACTTTCTTTAGGAAACTGGAAGTCCCCTTGCCCTTCCTAAGCTAGTCTTGCCATTTTTTTTTCCAACTCAGGAGGTGAGTTGGAAATGATTCAGCTTTCCCCCCACTTCTGAGAAGCCAGTTTTTAACCAGAGAAGGGTGAATTTCCTCCTGTTTGCTATTCTCGCTTCTGGCTCAAGCCAGAGAAGCCAGTTTTAAACCAGAAAATGGTGAATTTCCTCCCGTTTGCTTTTCCCGCTTCTGGTTCAAGCCAGAGAAGCCAGTTTTAAACCGGAGAATGGTGGATTTCCTCCTGTTTGCTTTTCCCGCTTCCGGCTCAAGCCAGAGAAGCCAGTTTTAAACCAGGGAAGGGTGAATTTCCTCCCATTTGCTTTCCCCCGCTCCTGGAGTAAAACAACTACTTTCAAAGTAAAGACCACCCAATGAAACAGGAAATAACACTTTCAAACCATTAACGAAAGGATTCGGAAGTTTTGAAAAGTTTTGAACATTTTTTTTCTGTGAAAATCGGAATTGACTTTAGAATCGAACCACCAGCTACATCTGAAACAAGTTTTGAACCATTTTTTTGGATCAAACAAGCCTAACAGACATACTGTGGCAGAATAAAATATGGCTGCTCTTGCAATGTACCTTTGGCCACTAGTAAAATTGGCCAAATATTCTTCTGCCAATAACAAAGATGGAGACTCAGTTTGTTCCATTTTTTCTTTGCTGCCCAAAACAAAGATGGCGGCGCCCATATTTGTCTTATATAAGGAGGAAGGGAGGAAGCCTCTTGGACAGGAACAAAGATGGCACCTGAAGCTTCATTGAGCCACTCTGCATTAAGCAAAAAAGATTTGATCTTTGAGCTTTCCTAGGTTTGACTGACAGGTGGCGCTGTGGGACAAAGTTGATCTGGCTTACTGTGCGGAAGGCGAAAACAACTGTTTTAGCGCAATAAAGATATATATGTATATTCCATAATGGATTTAGGGTTATTTTTCAAAAGCTCTTTTTACTTTTTTATGGGAGAATCCAGATCTCTTTTGGCAAATTAATAAATAATAATAATAAGGCGTTGCTGTGACTTTTCCAGCCTGTATGGCCAAGTATCCATAGCATTTTCTCATGACATTTCACCCACATCTGTGGCTGCCAATGAGCAAATTTGATGCCCTCAGATGCAGGTGAAACATCAGGAGAAAATGCTGCTGGAACACATTGGTCATACAGCTCGAAAAACTCACAGCAACCCAATGATTCCAGCTTTGAAAGCCTTTGACAACACAGTAATAATAATAATAATAATAGAACCATGCTCTATGTGGTGTCCCATATGGTTGTGATGTCTCTTCTGCTCTGAAACGCCACCATGAAAATGCAAAAGCATGGATAAGAACCAACCCTTTTGAGCGGACTTATTTTGACAGTCATGGCTAAACAAAAGATTCAACCCCCCTTTTTTGGGTCTCAGGTCTGGATGGATTCTTTCTCCTGGTTGGAATGAAAACAAAGAGGCTGCACGACAGTTGAAAGCATAGCTTATTTAATTTTTTTAATACATTTTTTCTCATTTTTTCCACTTTTCTTATTATTTTTTTCTTATTTTTTAATTTTTTTAAAATTGTCCTTTTAGGTTTTTTTTTATTTATTTATTGTAATGTACTTTTGCATAGGGGAAAAAAAAGAAAATTAACAAGAAAAAAAACCTGGAAATCGGTACATCAAAAGGTCGGCGCGGCAGCGAACGGGATGCGTACAAAGGCGAAGAGGTCAAAATATTGCATTGGCAACCAAGGAAAAGCAAGACGGTTATTACGTTTAGGTTTACGGGAAATGTACCAGTTGCCTGGTTGTAATAGGGAGTCATGATAAAGAGACTGGATTCATAAATTGCATCGGAAAACAAGCTCTTTTGTGTGTTTGATTTCATCTAAACAAACCCATTTTTTTGGGTTGCATTTAGAGTTGATTTTTGAGGAAAATACTGATCCAATTAATCCTGTAGAATTAATGCAGTTTTGATACTACGGTGGAATCCTGGGAGTTGTAGTTTGGCCAAGAAAGAGCTCTGTAAAACTACAAATCCCAGCAGCTGTTAAAATGAATTCGACAGCATAGATGCACGCATTGTTTGTGTACCTGGGGATTTTGAACCAAAGTTCTTGGTCTGCGGAACTACATTTTGAGAAAGAGAGAGGGTCGCAGTTAGAACAATGGGTTAAACCGCCAGCTACAGAAAATCTTGTTGACCGGAAGGTTGACAGTTCAAGCCATGGGTCAGGGTGAGCTCCTGCCATCGGCCCTAGCTTCTGCTTACCGAGCAGATTGAAAACAGCAATGTGAGTAGATAAATAGGTACCACTTTGGCGGGGAGGTAAAAGGCGTCCCTGAAAAACATGCCAGCAATTCTATCAGGAAGGTGCCTATGGACAACAGGCTCCTTGGCATGGAAAAATAGAACAACAGCACCTCCCCATGGCTGTGTCGAGCAAAGCCTCCAGATGCCAGAGATGAAAAAGAAGGCAGCCTTGCATCTATGTATTGTCTGTCTTTGCTGTTAATTGTATAACAGCATTGAATGTTTGTTATATGTATTCCGTAATCTGCTCTGAGTTCCCTCAGGGAGATAGAGCAGAATATAAATAAAGTATAATATATAATGCAGGTCGAAACCAGTTTAAGCTCATAGTGTGGACACCTTCCATTGCCTTTCCCCCTAAAGTATAAACCGGCTTGCCATTCCTTGGTGCCGCAATGTGTGTCTTGTGCTAAAACGGAGCGTAGTAAGCAAAGTGGCGAGACAGAGAATAAACAACTATGGTTATTAAAAAAAAACACCAGTAAAAATATAAATGACCAAAGCGCATTGGGGGGAATCTGTGCGCAACATGGAAGAGGAGGCGGAAAATGAAAAAAGAGAGGCGGGTTTGCGAAGGAACACGAAGCAATGCCGTCCAATGTAAGTTGTCAAAAGCAATGTCGGTCTCTAATTTCTCACCTATATCTATTCTTCGCAACATGCTTCTCCATTGAACGATAAAATGGAAAATGATGTCAGAAAAAGGCAAACATGATCCCCGATGGTTAACAAACCAAATCCAATGATGTTAGGGGGAGAATAGGGTTGCCAATGGACTAGATCTCCTAGCATTCCCTCACACTTGGATCAGCTGGGATGGGTTTTGCAGTCCATCAAAACCCATCCTTTCTTTGCCCTCCTATTGGAACCCCTATGATCATGATTGTTAGAAACAAGATACGGGGCCCTTTCATATCTTTCAATGGTAGTGAAATGATTCCACTTTAACCGCAATGGCGACGTCCCAAAGAATCCTGGGATTTGTAGTGTATTTACAGTCCTAGTGCCTCCCCAAACTACAAGTCCCTAGAATCCATTGAATCCTAGTATTACATTTCTGTAGTGTGGAGGGACACAAGGGCACTCTAAGATTAACATCAACTCTACTCTCCTCTTTCCATTGGAAATGTCAGTGTCAGAGGTTGAGAGAATGTGACTTGCCCAAGGTCCATAGCTGAGCAAAAGGGGATTCAGACCCAGGTCTTCCATAGTCTTATTCTAAAACATTGGGTTTCCTTGCCATTTATTATTATTATTATGTCTTTTCAGGTCAAGTTGGATTTTCTGAATGATTCAGAAGGGGATTTGAATTGCCTTCCTCTGAAGATGAGAGAGTATGGCCTGCCCAATGGATTTGCATAGCCGAGCCTAGGGAATTCGAACTCGGGTTTCTTAGACTCCAATCCAATATTCAAAACACGCTGGATATACATACATACGAGTACAATTGAGCTTCACCGACCAATGCTTAGCATAGTAATCTGTGTCCATGTATATACAACTCACTATGATTCACTATGAGAGATGGATGAACGAGAAAACAAGCAACCAGGAACACTGAATTGAAAAATGTTTTTCTAATATGTTCCAAAGTTTTTTTAAAGTGGGATCCAAATTTCCTCAAGTCTGACTTTTTTGGGAGCCAGAAATTACAAGTTTTCTGTTATATCTATTATTTATACAAAAAAAAATCGTAATGCGAATGGCGACATGGGAAGGAAAACACGGCGAAGGTGGAACATGCCGACGACGGAAAAGGGAAACGCAAAACACGGCAGAAAAAATTCATTAGGCACAGCTTCAGTTATATTTTTGGTATTTCGTGTATTTCGTTACTGGCTTTCACTTCCGTTTCGGGTGTGCGCCCAATTATTCTCCTCTTTAATATTATTTCATAATGATATCGACTGGTAAAGGAACTGCGAGTTTAAAGACTTTGGGAGATTCCAAAATCATCAATTTCTTAAAAATCAAAATGGGTAGAAATTGATATTTCAGTCCTTTCAATGATTCCTTGGCGAATATTTCTCCCGTAATCAAGTGGCGTTTAATCTTTTCCCTGAAAGAAACCTTGGGGAGTTTAATTTTGGTGATTGATAGGGATGGAAAAATTGAAAATATTCAAAAATATTTGGGGAATTTTTAAAAATGACTCCTGAACGGATGCGAATTTTCGCAATTTGGGGCTCTTTGTGCGGAAAATTCACACAACGGTCCATTCTGCACAGAAAGCGGACTTTTCCGACACAAAACAATATTTCCATGTAGAAAAATTATTTTCTATGCTGGGGAATAAATTTCCTGTATTTAAAACATGCCATTGGGGCATCCCATGCCCAATCTGCACAGGTGCGAAAACAACCGAATTTTGTGCGGGAAAAGCCCAAAGATGCAAATCGGATCAAAGACGGAGGAGAACAATTTGCGGAACACGCCAAACCATTGAAGCCTTTTTTTCCCCATCTCTATCAAAGCCCCCCTCCCATTTCTTACTTTAGATCCTTATGATTTTGCAATTAAAACCGATAATAAACCCCCTCCCCGCGTCCGTCCCCGCATTGCAACCTGCCCCATTCCCTCCCATGCAACCATCCATAATGCTGATTATATTTTATTCTTCTTTTTTTAAAAATGGCAATACGCTCCCACCCCGTGCCTCCCCCATGTTTCCTTTCCTCTCCCGCTTTTCCCCCTCCCCATACACGCATCAAATAATAAGAATAATAAGAATAATATCATGCAGCAACACCTGTGCAGTGATGTCATTAGAGTTAATACGTATTTTCATAGAAGGCAAGGCACATTATGTGGTATAAAACATTATTCCCCCACCCCACCCCAAATATCTTTTCTCGTGCAAATTAGAAAAAAAAAGTCAAAAGTTGGGTGGGGCTGGGTTTCTTATTTTTTTCTCTTTGTTCCTCAAAGGAAGAAAGAAGGGAGGGAACGGGGAGGAGAGCGCTTAAATGTTGATTTGCCATGCACATTCTCAGCCAGCTGATTGGTTGAGCTCGGTCACATGAGTTCCTGTTTCAAAGCACCATGCATTCGAGAGTTTGTAAAGGGGGAAATCTTTTGCGTTTTTCTTTTTTTTTCGTCTGGATGGGGCTTCCGTTTTGCTCCGTCAACCACTTCCTCACCATCGATTACAGATTTTTTATTACAAAAAGAAATTGCTCTATATAGAAATTCGGGGTCATATTTTTCTCACGAAAAGGGCCCCACCTTTTTGCGAGGACGGGAAGAGTCCACATTGGAAATATGTATCTATATATACATATATATGTGTGTGTGTGTGTATATATATATATATATATATATATTCTCTCTCCTGCCCCTTTCCCACCCACGACTGGTTGAACCCGGCATCGACGTTTCTCACCGTCAAGGTGCTAAGGTGTAAACAAGTACCGCTGGAAACCATTTCCCCCCCTTTACCCCAAATGATGCCAAATCTGAGGCAGGGGCTTGGGTTGTCTAGCAAAAGTCTATTTTTTTCTATTAAAAAAAGAAATTTCTCCCCTCTTAGCCTTGGCGTAAGGGAGCGGGAGGAACAGAGAGGGTGTTTTGCATATGCAAACGCAAGCCCCGGAGCAATTTTCCGGGCTGTAGATACGGGGCAGCGTCCCGAAGTTTGAGAAGGATGAGGCGGTGGAGGATGGGCTTCTCCACAGGTTGGGCTGAAGGCGGAAGGTTCTAGAACAAATAGAGGAGGTGGTTCCACCTGAGAGAAGGTTCTGGAATTTCGAGTCCCAAGCGGTCCAATTCACCACCTGAGGACTTGGCATCGACAGAGAAGATTTGCTTTCTGGAGACTCAGCAGTTGGGTGATGCTACAAAGGCCAGCATCCCATAAGACCACTACTAACTCACTCTTCTGTCCTAAAAATGTCCAGAATGGGTTCTCCAAGTTGGAGATTTTCAGGATCTTGGTGGTCTTGACTTCTTTTACTCACTCGTCAAGTTCTTCTGACCATTTCATGATTGACTTCAGAGAAAAAGCTCTCTTGACTGTTTCATGGTTGTCTTTTTAACCACTTGGACAGCATTTTGTAGCTTCTACATCCTGCCAAAGGATCCTGGGAATTGCTTGAAGGAGGCAAGAAGTTGACAAAGATGCTACAGTTCCACTTACAAAACTACAAGACATCCCTGTGAGGAAGGGAACGTCTTGATGCAGATCTGGTTTACAGATGGCCGATAAAAACCTTCATGCAACTATGGCCTTGATTCAACCATAACAGCTCTCTCTTGAGGGAGAAACACTGAATCCCTTTCCTCACTTCCTGAGATCTGGGCAACATTCTGCCACTCCTTCATCTCCAACTGTTTTATGGGCAGACAAGTAATCCATTTTGGGTGACAGTGATCTAAGGAGGATTCGGATGGATTGGCACCAAGGTGGAAGAAACATCCAGAAGATCAAGCCCAGCTACAAATGGAGAGGAAAGTGAATCCAAATTTGTTGTGACTGGACTTTGGACCTTAGAAGCCCCAACCTCCGGGGTGGCGGGAGACCCAATCCGTGGCATTGGTAAAGCTTTGGTGTTTGCCCCTCCGAACGCAGCCTGCGAGAAGGACCAGAGCATTAAATTGTAGGCACTTGAACCAGTCCAGAATGGCTTATCCGGGGCTTGCGAGGGGGGTGGGGGGTGGAGGGCAGCGGGAGGAGGAGAGTCAGAAGGGAAAGGGGAATTACGTAAGGAGGCATCTCCCCCAGATCCGAACCAAACTCTGGCCTGGGAAGATTTCCACACATCTCTCAACACCATCCCATTTCTATGATAGCCTCGAAACTGTCCCATCCCGGTCGCCGACTTCTATCTTAACACACATTAAAAACAAAAACTCATTTGGAGACAACTTTCTTCTATCCCACCACCCCTCATTCCCCTCTTCTTCTTCAAAGTGCATTTTCTACAAACAAAAAAAACCCCATGTGCAATCCATAAATCCAACATCCTCATCACTTCTCTCATCATTACATAGCTGGTCTACTATGGCATGCATAGTTCATTTGGGAAGTGGAAGGGAAGCAGATGGGTCCAACTACTGTTGGGACCATTTCCAACCTCCTTCCTCATCCCAATCGGAGACGGCACCTTCATGAGGAAAGCTAGGCAGATATCCCTCAACTCCTCATACAAACAGGGATTAAAAGTGTGGTAGAAGGGAGCCTTGAGAAGAACTAAGGGACCAGACACATCCCAAGTCCTGAAGTGCAATTCACTTCTCCCTTCCTGCAAGGTGGCCAAAGGCATGCTGTTGAAACACAGCATGGTGGCAAACCCGCCAATAAAGAAGTGCTACCAACCACAAAACCCAATCTCACTGCTGAGCTTTAAATGCCCCCCACTTTCCCCGAAGGCCAGCCTCATTCCCCATTTCCCACAACTTCGGCCCCAACATTGCACAAACCGTAAATTGCAGCAGTACAAATCCATCCATTTCGATCCTTTGCCCTCCCACCTTTCTGGCCCCTCCCCCCCAAAAAACAACCCAAAGATTGCATCATTTGAGTCGAGCCCACAAAAGCATTCTAGGAAAGGGGATATCAAAAGGAAGCCAAGAAGTCCCGTGCCGTCTCAGAAAACCTCCAACAAGAACGCAAAGCAGGGAGACAGGGAAAGGAGGCATCAGATATTGTCCGAAAAAGTGCCAAAGGTGGGTTTCAAATCCCTCTTTCTTTCTTTTGGAGAGGGAGTCTTTCTTCACTCTGCATCCCAACTTGGGTCAGTTTAAACTCTTCCGGTCCTTCATAGATGGACCGACAGACCAAGTCTCTAGCGTTACGCTTTCAAGAGAAGGAGAGTGAAATCAGGCATAGAAAAAAATAAACGAAGGGCCAGGTCAATGATTTCTCTCTCTCTCTCTCTCTCTCTCTCTCTCTCTTTCTTTTTTTCCCCCTACCCACAGGTGCTGGGGAAACTTTTGCATATACATCCCTTTCGAGAAAGCGACAGGCAGGATCCCGCTTGGTCCGGAAAAAGGGAAGAAAGAGAGTGATCCCGATTCTCCTCGGAAAGGTGCGTAGTGTCGAAACAAAACAAAAAAAGTAATAAAGGAGAAGACAACTCCCATCCACAAGCTGCCTTTCGGGGGTGTCACTCATCGACGGGAAGGATGCCGGGTTGAGAGATAAGACGGATATATTGGATTCTCTTTTTTTCAAAACTTTGTGTCAAAAGTCTGGATCTTCCCCTCCTTCTATCCTCCATTAAAGTCTCGCTTGCTCGTTCTCTCAATCATTCATTCTTTTGTTACGATGCCGCCAGAGTTTGGGCCAAGGGTGGGAGGGCCGCTTCGTTCTCCTCGAAGGAAGCCCAAAGCCCAGGAGGGGAGGAAAGGAGGATGGTGGTGAAGGTGGAAGCCGTGGTTAACCTAGATACCAGGACTGCGGGGAACGAGGGACAAGAAAAAGGCAAAGAGAAAGGCGTCAGTAGGAAACATCCCAATCTGATAGGAACTCTTCATTTCAAATTAGACAACTGTACATCAATACTGTTTCCCAAATTAGATGCTCTGAAGATGACCAGCTAACTTCTAGAATTAGTGCTGCACACGAGGCTGCATACTGGCTTGTACTTTGTTCAACATATTCCTGTATGATTTATTTATCCCAGGCTTTAGGGTTGGTGAATGGTCATAGTCCCAAGCTCCATTCTACACATGTTCCCTTACTCATATATGCAGATGATACAGTGCTATTGTCTTTATCTAATATCGGTCTAATACGCTTAATTCATTGCTTTGCCACCAAGCTCTATTCTACCCATGTTCCCTTATTCTTATATGCAGACGATACCGTGCAATTGTCCTTATCTAGTATTGGTCTAATGTGCTTAATTCATTGCTTTGCCACCAAGCTCTATTCTACCCATGTTCCCTTACACTTATATGCAGATGATACCGTGCAATTGTCCTTATCTAATATCAACCTAATATACTTAATTCATTGCTTTGTCACCTAAGCTCTATTCTACCCATGTTCCCTTACTCTTATATGCAGACGATACCATGCTATTGTCCTTATCTAATATCAGCCTAATATACTTAATTCCTTGCTTTGTCACCAAGCTCTATTCTGTCCATGTTCCCTTACTCTTATATGCAGACGATACCATGCTATTGTCCTTATCTAGTATTGGCCTTAAACACTGATTTTCAAGCAGACCCCAATAGCTATACAGCGTTCCCTCACTTATCAGTGGTGTTACATTCCAGGACCACCCGTGAAAAAGTGAAAATCCGCGAAGTAGGGACGTTATATATGTATATTGCATTTCGAGGGTGAGGCAGAAGCGAGGAGAGATTTAAAGGCACTGCACACTTCTTTTTTTTTGCTTTGCAATCTCTCTTGATTGGCTGCCTCTCTCCCAAGGGGGAGGGTGAAACCCCCTTCCACACTCCATCATTGCCAAGGAGCGGGATTTGAATCCTGCTCAGGACAATGGCAACCATTCATAAAGTGGGAGGCAAAAACCCACGAAACAGCAAGTCTGCGAAAAGCGAACCACAAAGTAGCGGGGGAACCCTGTATACCCTCTCTTGTTATCAGATCATTTTATTTCAGAATGCTATCCTTTTATTATTCTCAGAAAGATTGAAGCCATTGGCCTGTCTTTGGAAGCACTCTTAATGCTCACAAATGTGGAAGCCAGCAAGTTAGTCAACAGTAGATGTTTGGAACTTTTCATTGGGGATAGAATCGTAGAACCATAGGCTTGGAAAGGACCCCAAAAGCCATTTAGTACAATTCCATTCTGGCTGGACACCATCCAAGCCCTCCTTATGGATGGCCATCTGTTTCAAAGCCTCCAGAGGAGCAGTTTTCAAAGTGTGCTCTGCGGAGCCCTATTGGGGCTGCTTTGATTGTGCTTTTCCTTCATGGCAGAAGGGGGTTGGACTGGATATCCCCAGGGGTGGCTCCAATTACTACTACTACTACTACTACTACTACTACTACTATTATTGCAAAGGTTGGATGGCCACTGAGGTTGCTGCTGCTGCTGCTGCTGCTGTTGTTGTTGTTGTTGTTGTTGTTGTTGTTGTTGTTATTATAAGGAGCCCCCGGTGGCGCAGTGGGTTAAAGCCCTGTGCTGGCAGGACTGAAGACCAACAGGTCGCAGGTTCGAATCCGGGGAGAGGCGGATGAGCTCCCTCTATTAGCTCCAGCTCCTCATGCGGGGACATGAGAGAAGCCTCCCACAAGGATGATAAAACATCAAAAATCATCCAGGCGTCCCCTGGGCAACGTCCTTGCAGACGGCCAATTCTCTCACAACAGGAGCGGTTGCTCCTGACACGACAAAAAAAATAAATAATATTATTATTATTATTATTATTATTATTATTATTATTATTATTATAAAGGCTGTATTGCTCCTGGGGCTGCTCCTATTATTATTATTATTATTATTATTATTATTTGAAACACAACAAGGTGAGTCCACAGCAGACACTCTGCTGGCTGAATTGGATCACACGTTGGACACTTCCCAAGTGTCTAGGACTGTGTGATGTATCGGTGAATAATGTGTGCAGATCCCAGTAAGGTGGCCTTCTGCAGCTGGCATGGGTTGTTGTTGTTGTTATTATTATTATTATTATTATTATTATTATTATTATTATTATTATTATTCCCCATCCCTGTGCAATGCTTCATGTCCCTTAATCCGTTCTCTGAATCTATTTGGAGTAGCCTATTATTATTATTATTATTATTATTATTATTATTTCCCCTGTCCCAATGTAATGCTTCATTTCTTTAATCCGTTGTCTGAATCCCTTTAGAGAGGCCAGATATTATTATTATTATTATTATTATTATTATTATTATTATTACAAATGCTGATTGGCCATCCATTGGGGTACTTTTATTGTGCTTTTCCAGCATGGCAGAAGGGGATTGGACTGGATGACCCCTATTACTACTACTACTACTGCTACTATTACTACAGAGGCTTGATTTCCAACTGTCAAGGACACTGTGGTTTTCAGGTCGAAGGGGGTTGGAGTGGATGGCCTTTGGGGGTCCCTTCCGACTCTAGGTTTCAATGTATTCCTATCTGTTTGAAGGGGGTTAGACCGACTGGCCTTTGGGGCTCCCTTCTAACTCTTCTATGATTCCACATTCGTCTTTTTCCAGCCCGTGCTGCCCTTTGTTATCGGCTGGCTGCACCACGCTCTCTTCCTCCCGCTTAGCAGTCAGCACGCCACCCCGATGGGGAGATTGCACTATAATTCCTGCATTTTGCAGACTCAGCACTTTTGTGCCTGTGATGGAGCCAGGCTTCCGCAGCAGCCCCGCATGCGGCAATCTTGGCACCTGGCTGCATCCCTCCTTTTTTCCCTCCTCCCTCTCTGCAATCTCTAGAAGGAGATGCAGACCGCAGAACGGAGGAGGAATGGACCATGGCATCCTTCCTGGACCATCCTCCAATGCCCCTCTTAGTCGGCATCACTGGGGTGGGGGGTGGGAATTGGGAGGAACCCCCAAAGGCCATCCTGTCTAACCCCATTCGACCATAAAGGAATATAATGAATCCTGGAGTCAGAAGGGACCCAAAAGACCATCCAGTCCAACCCCATTTGGCTACAAAGCAATACACTGAATTCTAGAGTCAGGAGGGACCCCTAAAGTTCATCCAGTCCAATCTAATTTGGCTATAAAGAAGACGCTGAATCTTAGAGTTGGAAGGGAATCCCAAAGGACACCCAGTCCAACTCCATTTAGCCATACATTGAATATTAGAGTCGGAAGGGACCCTCAAAGGTCATCCAGTCCAACCCCATTTGGCCACAAAGCAATACACTGAATTCTAGACTCAGGAGGGACCCCTAAAGGTCATCCAGTCCAACCCCATTCGGCCACAAAGCAATATAATGAGTCCTAGAGTCAGAAGGGACCCCTAAAGGTCATCCAGTCTACACCTATTCAGCCATAAAGGAATACATTGATATTAGAGTCGGAAGAGACATCCAAAGGAAATCTAGTCCAACCTCATTCAGCCATAAAGGAATATAATGAATTCTACAGTTGGAAGGGATACCAAAGGCCATCCAGTCCAAACCCCTTTGGCTTTAAGAAGACACTGAATGGGTTGTTGTAGGTTTTTTTGGGCTATATGGCCATGGTCTAGAGGCATTCTCTCCTGACGTTTCGCCTGCATCTATGGCAAACATCCTCAGAGGTAGGATACTTGCCATAGATGCAGGCGAAACGTCAGGAGAGAATGCCTCTAGACCATGGCCATATAGCCCGAAAAAGCCTACAACAACCCAGTGATTCCGGCCATGAAAGCCTTCAAAAATACATTAAGACACTGAATCTTAGAGTTGGAAGGGAATCCCAAAGGACATCCAGTCCAACTCCATTTAGCCATACATTGAATATTAGAGTCAGAAGGGACCCTCAAAGGTCATCCAGTCCAAACCCATTCGGCCATAAAGGAGCACACAGAATCGTAGACTTGGAAGGAACCCCCAAAGGCCCTCCATTCTGCCAACCTCACTCTGCTACACAGGAAGATACAACCCGAACTCTACTGACAGATGGCCATCTAGCTCCAGGGAAGACAATGTTTTCAAAGGACTCACCTGCGCCTGATAGATGCTGCCCGGGTCCCGTGGTCCTAGTCCCACGAAGCGGTTCGCAGGGGGGGTGCCTGGGGCGGAGTAGGCTGGGATGAAGAAGGAAAGAAAGAAGGAAGGAAAGAAAGAAAGGAAAAATACCATAAACTGAAAGAAAAATATCACCACTTTTGTTTTTCTCTCTTTTGCATTGACCTATCAGATATATCTCTATCATATCTACCTATCTCAGTCATATCTATCATATGTATGCCTAGATAGCCATCTGTTGGGAGGGCTTGGGTGGTGTCTTCCCGCCTGGCAGAAAAGATGTTCTCCTGAATAACATGATGGAGTTGGATGGCCCTTGGATTCACTTCAAAAGATAGATATGCTCCAGCTCTAGGATTCTACCTATCAATCTATCCATCAAAACTATCATGTCTATGGCTGGGTGGCCATTTGTCGGGAGGACTTGGATTGTGTCTTCTTGTATTAGAGTTAGAAGAGATCCTTGGGATTCTAAGATTCAATGATAGATCTCTCAATCATATCTATCTATCTCAATTCTATCTATCATATCCATGGCTGGGTGGCCCTCTGTCGGGAGGGCTTGGATGGTGTCTTCCTGTTTGGCAGAAAAGGGTTGGACTGGAGACCTCTCGAGGTCTAATCCAACTATTGTTCTATAGCATATCTATCTTTTGAAGTGAATTAATTGGATAAGAATTTGGCTAGCTAATTATCTTGACAATGGTTATGGGCCCAGCACACTTCCGCTGCGCAACTCTGCTAATTCACATTTTTCAGCAATCTGTTCTATTTGTCTTTTCTGGTTTTCTATCATTCATACACACACACATACACTAGCTTGGGTACCCAGTGGTTCCTGGGTTATTTGAAAAATACATTGTTTGTTTTGGAGTGTTAGGTAACATCATTTAATTAATCAGAAACACTATTTATTAGGGGGAAAAGCCAGTTTTTATTTCATTTTTATGTATGTTCTCATTAGAAAATACATAATGATGTAGTTGAACTACAATTCCCAGAATTGTGGGTCAATCCTCCCCAAACCAGGTCTGTATGCACAGCTCAATGCTCTCTGGATAAAGGTGAACTACAAGTACCATATGCCAAGGGCAGCCACCTCCAAACACTACCAGTATTTACAGTTGGTCATGTTGGGTCTGTGTTGGTCCAGATCCAACGTTGGCTGGGTTCAGTGCTCTCTGGGTGCAGGTGAACTACAACTCTCAAAATCAAGGTAAATCCCCACAAAACCCTGCTGTATGTTCACTTGGTCATGGGACTTCTCTGTGGCAAGTTTGGTCCTGGTCCATTGTCGGTGGAGGTCACAGTTTCTCTGGATGCAGGTGAACTAAAACTCCCAGATTCCAAGAGCAAACCCCCAGAGTCCTCCTGTATTCACAGTTGGGCATGTTGTGTCTGTGTGGCAAGTTTGATCCAGATCCGTTATTGATGAGGTTCAGAGTGCTCTGGGTGCAAGGTGAACTACAACTCCCACACAGGTAGGCCATTCCCCCAATCCTTCCAGTATGTTCTGTAAGCCATCAGGGTTCTGTAGGTCACTTGTGTTCCAGATCCACCATTGGGGGCTTCAGAATACTCTCTGGGTGCATGGTGAACTACAGCTCCCATGTAAGTGGGTTTGTCTCCCCCCCCCCCCAAACACCTCCAGAAAGTTGTGTTGGTCAACAGGGTTCTGTGTTCGAAGTTTGGTCCAGATCCATCATTGGTGGAGTTCAGAGTGCTCTGGATACAGGGTGAACTACAATTCTCACGTAGATGGGTCAGTTTCCAAAACTCCTCCACTCTGTTCTGTTGATCATGTGTTTTTTTTCCCCAAGTTTGGTCCAGGCCCGTCATTCATGCGGGTCGTAGTGGTTTGTGAAAGAGAGTGAAGGTACTGCAAATTCCATCGTCTGTGGTCCATCCTCCCCCAACTCTCACCAGGAAATAAAGTACATCATGGAGAGTCTGTGAGACAAGGTTGGTCCTGGTCTGTCATTTCTGGGGGTTGTAGTGGTTTCTGAAAGTGAGTGAAGGTACTGCAAATCCCATCATCCTTGGTCCATCCTCCCCCAACTCTCACCAGGAAATAAAGTGCATCATGGAGAGTCTGTGAGGCAAGGTTGGTCCTGGTCCGCCATTTCTGGGGGTCGCAGTAGTCTCTGGATGTGGCTGAAGGTACTGCAAATCCCATCATTCATGGTCCATCCTACCCCAAATCGCACCAGGATGTAGAGTGGATAACGGGGTGACTGTGCCACAATTGGTCCAGGTCCATCATATGTGGGGGTCGCAATGGTTTGTGGGAGACATCATCATCCATGTTCCATCCTCCTCCAAACTTCACCAGGACATATAGTGGGTCATGGGGGGAGGGTATGTGTGCCAAGTTTTGGTCCAGGTCCATCATGCATGGTGGTCATGGTGATCGCTGGAAGTGAATGAATGTACTGCAAGTCCCTTCATCCGTGGCAAGTTTGGTCCAGATCCATCGTTGGTTAGGTTCACTCTACTCTCTAGATGTAGGTGAACTACAACTCCTATAAATCAAGGTAAATCCCTCCCAAACCTGGTCATGGGGGTTTTGCATGCCAAATGTGGTCCAGGTCCATTATTGACGGGGGCCACAGTGCTCTGCCTTGACGCAAGGTGAACTACAACTTCCATCCTGTTGAGTCAGTCCCCCAAATCCCTCCAGTCTGTTCAGTTGGTGATCAGTTCTTCTCTGTTTGCTGTGTGCCATAGGAAAGGGTTAAGCGAAAGGCAGTGGGCGGGGTCATGTGAATTCCACACCAATGGAGAAAGGAACCCTGGGATGCCTACCTGTGGTGGAGGAAATACCTAAATCTACAATGAAATTATCACCAAATGAAAGCATTCCTTGGGTGATGGGTAGTATGGTGTTTGTGGAGGACATTGGTAGGTTTGGGCTACATGTTCATGGCGCTCGCTGTAACCTGCAATGTCAGTGGAGGGAGGGCTTTTGGAGGCTTCTCAGCGCTTGTAACTATAGCCTGTTTGTGGAGGCGGGAGGCTGTCTGTTTAAGTGGACACCTCCGCCACATACACATAGATATAGGTATATATGCACACATGGAGCCCCTGGTGGCACAGTGGGTTAAACTGCTGATCTGCTGAACTTGCTGACCGAAAGGCTGGCGGTTCAAATCTGGGGAGCGAGATGAGCTCCCACTGTTAGCCCCAATCAACCTAGCTGTTGGAAAACATGCAAATGTGGGGAGATCCTTTGACAGGAAGGAAATGATGCTCCATGCAGTCATGCTGGCTACATGACCTTGGAGGCGTCTATGGACAATGGATATCAATGGTTGGATAGGTATCTGTTGAGAGGGATTGGATTGTGTCCTTCCTGCCTGGCAGAAGGGGCTTGGACTGGAGAGCCCTTGGGGTTTTATCCAACTCTTAAGATTCTACAAGATAATATATATATATATCCATGGCTGGATAGCTATCTGTCTTGAGGGCTTGAATGGTGTCTTCTCTGGGGTTGGTCTGGTGTCTTCAGGGGGTTGGACTGGATGACCCTTGGGGTCTTAGCCAACTCTAAGATTCAAGGAGATAGCTTATATATACATTTATATCATATCATATCATACATATGGCTGGATGGCCCTCTGTTGGGACAGATTGGATGGTGTCTTCCTAACAGAAGGAAGGGACTTGGACTGGAGAGGCCTTGGGGTCACTTCCCCCAACTCTACAAGATACCATATATATGTATATGTATGTATGTATATGTGTGTGTGTGTGTGTGTATATATATATATATATTCTATCTATCTCAATCATATCTATCATATCCATGGTTGGATGGCCATCTGTCAGGAAGGATTGGATTGGATAGCCCTTGAGGTCTTATCCAATTCTATCATTCTACAAGATAGCTTATATATACATATCCATGTCTATCATATCTATCATATGACTGAGATAAATTGATATGCTCTCTGCATGGTTGTCAAGCAACATAGCAAGAGATCCAAAAAGATACCTATAAATATAATATCTATCCATCTCAATCATATCATATTATATCCATGGCTGGATGGCCCTCTGTCAGGAGGGATTGCTTGGTGTCTTCCTTTCCTGGCAGAAAGGCCTCGGACTGGAGAGCTCTTGAGGTCTTCTCCAACTCTAAGATTCAACAAGTTAGCTTATATATACATAAACATCATATCATATCCATGGCTGGATGGCCCTCTGTCGGGAGGGATCAGATGGTGCCTCCTGCTTACTGGGAGAGGTGGGTGAGGTGGTCCCTCCCTCGGAGGTCGTGGTGGCAGATTTGGCGTCGGGCGAGATGGCCAAGCGGGGCGGCGGCGCCAACATCTGGGTGGAAAGGTAGTGCCCGGGGACCTTCACTTGACCGCCTCCATTTAGCTAAAAGGACACAAGCAAGAGAGAGAAGGCAGAGCAAGCGGTTAGCACGGCCCACAGGAGAACCGCCATCCCAACTCCGGGTGTCCGTGCCCGGCTTGCCTATTCCCAATCGGAATGCAGCTCCAAATGAAAGGAGGTTGCAGTATGAGTTTAGCAAGGCTCCGTCGATAGTTTCGACTAGGATTTTAAACCCTTTGCTTGCAACGAAATGATGTAAATATATATCTTATATATATATGGCAATGCAAATTTATGCAAACGGTAAGAGTGTCCCTATGTGTTATTGGGCTCTGTTTATACACACTGGTGGTCCGTAAACATTGTCCAGATGAGCATCCAGAGTGACTCAGAACGTTGTACAACAGTCTGAATGTGTGAAAAACATGTTCCTGGCTCTTCCATGTATTATTATTATTATTATTATTATTATTATTATTATTACTATTATTATTATTATTAGTAGTAGTAGTAGTAGTAGTAGTAGTATTTTGTCAAAGGAATCACCTCTGTTATTATTATTATTATTATTATTATTATTATTATTATTATTATTGTATTGTCAAAGGAATCACCCCAATTATTATTATTACTGTTATTATTACTATTATTGTATTGTTAAAGAAACCACTCCTATTATCACAATTATTATCAGAATCATAGAATCCTAGAGTTGGAAGAGACCTCATGGGCCATCTAGTCCAACCCCTTGCTAAGAAGTAGGAAAACTGCATTCAAAGCACCCCCGACAGATAGCCATCCAGCCTCTGTTTAAAAGCTTCCAAAGAAGGAGCCTCCATCACATTCCAGGGCAGAGAGTTCCACTGCTGAACGTCTCTCACAGTCAGGAAGTTCTTCCTAATGTTCAGATGGAATCTCCTTTTTTGTAATTTGAAGCCATTGTTCTGCATCCTAGTCTCCAGAGCAGCAGAAAACAACCCTGCTCCCTCCTCCCTGTGACTTCCTCTCTTATTATTATTATTTTATTGTCAATGGAATCACCCCAATTATTACTATTGCTATTGTTGCTGTTGTATTGTCAATGGAATCATCCCAATTATTTATTGTATTGTCAAAGGAATCACCCCAATTATTATTACTATTACTATTGTATTGTCAAAGGAGTCACCCCAATTATTACTATTGTTATTGTTGCTGTTGTTGTAGTAGTATTGTCAACAGAATCATCCCAATTATGTATTGTATTGTCAAAGGAGTCACCCCTATTATTATTAGTATACTACTACTACTACTACTACTACAATTACTATTATTATTGTCAAAGGAATCACCCCAATTATTATTACTATTATTACTATTATTATTGCATTGTCAAAGGAGTCACCCCAATTATTACTATTGTTATTGTTGCTGTTGTTGTATTGTCAACGGAATCAGTCCAATTATTTATTGTATTGTCAAACGAATCACCCCTATTATTATTATTAGTACTACTACAACTACAATTACTATTACTATTATTACTATCAAACGAATCACCCCCAATTATTATTACTATTACTATTATTACTATTATTATTGTATTGTCAAAGGAATCACCCCAATTATTGCTATTGTTATTGTTGCTGCTGTTGTTGTATTGCCAATGAAATCATCCCAATTATTAATTATTGTATCACCCCTATTATTATTAGTACTACTACTACAACAATTACTATTATTATTATTTATTGTCAATCAAATCACCCCAATTATTATTACTATTACTATTATTACTATTATTATTGTATTGTCAAAGGAATCTCGCCAATTATTATTACGACTACTTTTATTATTATTATTATTGTATTGTCAAAAGAATCACATTATTATTATTATTATTATTATTATTCATTTATATTCCACTTTTTCTCTCCTAAAAGAGTCACATTGCAGTAGACCCTGGATGAATATAGGGACCCTGCAATATGTCTTGATTCAATCTAATGTGGGTGTTAAGTCTCCTTAAAGGAGAACTTTGGGCATATCTTTTGCATGTAAGCCCCGAATGGATGTGGATGATCACTTTCCATTCTGTCTCCAGCTCAGAACTTCAGCTGCAAAACTCATTGCCGAAGACACACACTGCTCCAAAGGCGAAAAACTAGCTTCCAGATTCGGAATATATGTGCAAGGAGGGGGCAGGATAGATGAGAGAAGAAACAGGATCACGGACCCCGTAGAGGTTGCCCTGCAGGTAGTCGGAGCATCAGAGGTTGCCTTTGATGGGAACCCCTGCCGGGAAGGGGAGAGGAGCCAAGCTGTGCATCAAACAGCCAACCTGTGTTTGTACCGTGGTTTTGACCACATGGAAAGAGGGTCGATGAGGAGGAGCCCAAGAGGCAACAACTGCCTGGTATCAAAGCAGTCCGAAGGCTCCCTGCTGCCTCTCGGCCTCCTCCAGCCCTGGTTGCTTCCAACGCTACTTAATTTGCAATCTTATCCAACCTCAGCTCTGCAGTTTCAACAAAACTGGGTTCGTGTCCATGTCTGGGAAACAGTGAATCTGCCCTGGGTTTTAATCCAGCCTCCAAAGAGGTCAGGCATTGAAACCATCATCAGCAAAGAAGATAATAGGTTGCTCTGAGTTTTCCTGATTTTTCGCCTGCACGTGTGGCTGGCATCTTCAGAAGTCTGTCGGAAGTGAGGCAAGTGGGGTATATATATATTCCTGTGGAATAATGTCCAGGGTGAAAGAAAGACCCCTTTGTCTGTTTGAAGCAAGTGTGAATGTTGCAATTAGCAAGCTTGAACAGCATTGAGTAGCCATGAAGTTTGCAAAGTCAATCAGTGAGGGTATGTGCATAGTGAAGAAAGTGGAGTGTATATATCCCTGTGGAATAATGTCCAAGGTGGGGGAAAGAACCCTTGTCTGTTTGAAGTAAATGTGGATGTTGCAATGAGCAAACTTGAATAGCACTGAGTAGCCATGAAGCTGCAAAGTCAATCAGTGAGGGTCTCTGCATAGAGGTAGTGAAGCCAATGGAGTGTATATATCCCTGTGGAATAATGTCCAGGGTGAGAGAAAGAACCCTAGTCTGTTTGAAGCAAGTGTGGATGCTGCCATTAGCAAGCTTGAATAGCACTGAATAGCCATGAAGTTTGCAAAGTCAACCAGTGAGGGTATCTTCAGAGAGGTAATGAAGTAAATGTGGTGTATATGTATCTGTGGAATAATGTCCAGGGTGGGAAAAAGAAGCCTTGTCTGTTCGAAGCAAGTGTGGATGTTGCAATGAGCAAGCTTGAATAGCATTGAGTAGCCTTGCAGTTGCAAAGTCAATCAGTAATGGCTTCTGAATTGAGGTAGCCTTGCCTCTTTTTCTTGGAGGCACCCTCTGTTTGGCAGTTATTGCTTGCTTGCTGTCTGGAGTTCCCCTGTTTCTGTGTGGAGTTCATTATTTATGGTCTTGATTCTTGTGGTTTTTTTAAATACTGGTAACCAGATTTTATTCATTTTCATGGTTTTGCGGACACAGAATATTATTTGAGAACATAGAAACTCTAGACCAGCCTGGCAACCATTATGTCAGACTACATAGAGAAGCCACTGAAATCTATAATTCCAACAGAAAGGAGGAAACCATGAAAATGAATAAAATTTGGTTCAAAACTGCCACAGATGCAGGCAAAACATTAGGAGAGAATGCTGCTGGAACAGGGCCATAAAGCTTGAAAAACTCATAGCAACCCAATAATTCCAGCCATGAAAGCCTTCGACAATACAAGAAGGGAATGGTCGGCAAAGAGAGATGAAGGAGGATAGGAATGAGATTGTATTACAGGCCAATGAGTTCCATTGTTGTATTCTTGGAGGATCCCAGTTAGACTGCCCTACTGTTTCCCAGTATCCCACACTCTAGAAGAGACCGGACCATGACGGATGGAGTCCCCTCCCCTCATGTGATACGAAATAACTACTTCCTTACCGGTCCAGGCTGTTGATTGGACGGGTCACAGGCCAACGAGACGAGGTCTTTCAAAGGGTCCTGCGGGTTCAGATGAGGCGGGTACCTTATGGCTGTGTGCGGGAAGTAGGCAGAGGCCGTCTGGGGGAGGATGGAGGTGGTGGGAAAGTGCAGCGCAGAGGAGGGGTGGGGGCTTCGGGCGATACCTGCATGGGGGCAAGAGACCACCGGGTCAGGACAGGAGAGCCTGTTCTCCATCTGTTCCCCAACACATGACCAAACCATAATACTTCAGTATAGGCCCTCCATCCTTCCTCCGTGACCATCCTTGGCAAGCCAAGCGATCCTTTGCAAATATCCGATCTGCCCCCAAACCTACAGGAGTGACTGTATGTTCAATTACACTACACCGTTATTGTCCTATAGTTCCAGTTTTAACTACCAGGGGGACATTATGTAGGATTCTGGGGGTTGTCATTTTCGAGAATTGGCCCTCCTTAAACTCCAAAATTCCAGCACTCCATAGGATGTCACTACGGCAGTTAAAGTGGAATCATAGTGGTATAACGGTGTGGAATAATAGCAGTATAGGGGTGTAATAATAGCGGTATATCGGCAGAATAATAGCAGTATAACGGTGTGGAATAATAGCGGTATGGGGTGGAATAATAATGGTATAACAGGGTGGAATAGTAGCGGTATAGCTGCAGAATAATCATGGTATAGGTGCAGAATAATAGCGGTATAAGGGCAGAATAATAGTGGTATAACAGTGTGGAATAATAGCAGTATAGGGATGGAATAACAGCAGAATAGGTGTGGAATAATAGTGGTATTGGTGAGGAATAACAGTGGTATAGATGTGGAATAATAGCAGTATAGGTGAGGAATAACAGGGATATAGGTTCAGAATAATAGCGGTATAGTGTGAAATAATAGCCGTATAGGTGCCAAATAATAGAGGTATAGGTGCGGAATAATAGCAGTATAAGTGAGGAATAAGAGCTGTATAAGTGCAGAATAATAGCGGTATAGGTGAGGAATAACAGTGGTATAGGTGAGGACTAATAGTGGTATAGGTGTGGAATAATAGTGTTAAAACAGGATGGAATAATAGCGGTATAGGTGCAGAATAATAGTGTATAGGTGCGGAATAATAGCAGTATAGGTGCGGAATAACAGCGGTATAGGTGAGGAATAATAGCAGTATGGGTGCGGAATAACAGCGGTATAGGTGCAGAATAATAGCAGTATAGGTGCGGAAAAACAGTCGTATAGGTGCGGAATAACAGCGGTATAGGTGAGGAATAATAGTGGTATAGGTGTGGAATAATAGTGTTAAAACAGGATGGAATAATAGCAGTATGGGTGCAGAATAACAGTGGTATAGGTGCGGAATAATAGCAATATAGGTGCGGAATAACGGCGTTATAGGTGTGGAATAACAGTCGTATAGGTGAGGAATAATAGTGGTATAGGTGAGGAATAATAGCGGTATAGGTGCAGAATAACAGCGGTATAGGTGAGGAATAATAGCAGTATAGGTGCAGAATAACAGCGGTATAGGTGAGGAATAATAGCAGTATAGGTGAGGAATAATAGCAGTATAGGTGAGGAATAATAGCAGTATAGGTGCGGAATAACAGTGGTATAGGTGTGGAATAACAGTAGTATAGGTGAGGAATAATAGCGTATAGGTGAAGAATAATAGCTATATAGGTGCGGGATAATAGCGGTATAATGGTGCAGGGTGACAGGGACCCATGGCTGCAAATTACAGAATCAGAGCGGTTTGACACCCCATGGCCATAACTCAATGCATTTTTTTTCTCAACTGGATTGTGCTAAACTTCAGCTTTCGTCATCCCCAACCAGCATGCACCCAAATCCCCGCTTGTTTGTTTTGAGAAAGGCTCATACTTCAGCACATTGTTTGACGTTTCTCAATTGCAAAGAACGAAGACAGAGAGAAAGTGAGACAAGGCAGACGTGATATAAAATCAAGTGTCACTGTCACCTGTGCGTATCCAGCTTCCTCCCATTTCAACAATTGAAACGGCACATACTATTGGGGGACACAGTAACAAACGAGTCTCAGGAATCCTCAAACTCATTCATCTAATGGAACGCTATTTGTTCCCGGGCTTCTCTGGACAGCGTGGACATACCGCTGTGGACAGCAATGACCGGACGGTGATGCTGAGTGAAACTGCTGAGCCGAGGGGACGTGTCCTGCGGGGACGGGCTGTTGAAGGGAGATTTGTCAATTTCTGTCTTTTTCACGGTCGGGGAGATACCTGGAGGAGAGTTGGAAGAAAGGGCGATAACTAGGTACCTGGGCAACAACATTCTCCATCTACTTTCCAGTGTGTTTCTACAAGAGACCTCTCGCTCCGCAAAAAGTCACTTTTCTGCACACAATGTGAATTTTGTGCAGAAGAAGTCCCAAACTGCAACATTTTTCATCGCTCTAGGTTTCTCCTCGCTGGGATTTCACAACACCGGAGAATGCCATTTTTAACCATTTCCCTAATGTTTTTGATTGTCCTTTCCATCACCACGCCACCTTTGCCACCTGTAGCCCTCAAGGGAAGGAGGGAAAGAGAGATGGAATGAATATTGCATTATTCAGTGCAATAATGAACAATGCAAATGACAACCGGAATGGCTCCTGGCTTATGTTTCTGGACTATGTGATTTTAAGTAATTGTTAAATAAGAGTGAAGAGAGAGGGGGCCAGGTGACAGTTCCACCTTGTCTCTTGTGCTATTCTAATAATATAATATAGTATAATATAATATTTATAATATTACAATGTAATGCAATATAATAATAATAATATGATATTATATTTATATATTTATATTACACTAGCCGTCCCCTGCCACGTGTTGCTGTGGGCCACATGGGGGTTTTGTGTGGGAGGTTTGCCCCAATTCTATCGTTGGTGGGGTTCAGAATGCTCTGTGATTGTAGGTGAACTATAAAGCCCAGCAACTACAACCCCCAAATGTCAAGACTGTATTTCCCCCAAACTCCACCAGTGTTCACATTTTGGCATATTGAGTCTTCGTGTAGCATTTGGTCCAGATCCATCGTTGTTTGAGTCCACAGTGATCTCTGGATGTAGATGAA